GAGTCTATACTTAACCCGAGGTTCCGTCCTTAAACCAAGGCGTGAAAGGTACAAATAACTGAGTGTTTGGACCAAATCAACTCTACTTTTCAATTTAATTTAATTTCCATTTTATTTAAATTTTTATAGAAGTTACTAACAATTTATTCATGATGTAGCAATTTAAAGGAATGCGCGGAATGTGAGTAATTAATTAATTTAATTACTCTTATTTTATTTTCTTATTGCTAGTATCATGATTAGGGTTATTTTATATTTGATTTGACTAACATTATTATTGTCAAATTGCTTTCAATATTAATGGTTATTCTATTATTTTTATTGATCACCATATTGCATGTTTAAAGGGAATATGTAATTAAAAATCACGCCTAATAAGATAATTTGGACAACCGGTTTAGGATCCTTTTTAATCTTGTTGTTTAATCAAGTGATCACAAATATTTTAGAATTATATGTTGCATTAATATTAAACTAATTTAGCTTAATAATAGATTAGAGCAGATTGAATTTTTGTTTGTATGTATTTGAGATCTCAGGAATCACTTTTCACTATAAGAATCGAGTAGAGGCCAATACGGGCGAATGTGCTCCATGACTCACTTCGTACCATCATCCCCGATCCTCCTTTCGTGGTTCCGACCATATGGAGTTAGTAATCTCATGGATTATGAATGAGGTGTAACCTTCACGGGTCAATCGTTGTTGCCTATCGTTGTCCCTTATTCGTGGTTGCCTTTTATGATCCGTGAACGGCCTACAAGTTCTTTAAAAACTTGTTGGCGGCTCCCTACTTTCCTTGTCCCTAATCGTATATGTCAATTTCCACTTCCTATGAGTGCCAAGCATATTCACAACATGCTTTTTACGTAGGCGCACTTCGAGCGACGCCTACAATTTGGCGACTCCGCTGGGGAGGATTCTTGGTTATTTATCGATTTGAGTGATCGGTATTTAATTGAGATGAGTGGATGAGACTTGAAAGATTCTTGAATTGTATTCCTGCGATTTAATTGGCATTGTCACATATGCATATGCATTTTAGGTCGCCTATTTTGCCACAATAGTACGTGTTCTACGTATGTGGCTAGCCCGGGGGATTTAAGCTCTATCAACCCGAAAAAGTTCATGACAATAAGGGTTCATCCGAGTTTTTAAATCCACCCAAACCATGGAGTCGAGTTCGATTTCATCGGGAACTCGCGGAGCCGCCCGTTGGCATACACCCTCAAGGGAGGCTGCCTTGCTAACGCGTCCAAACTCTTAACCATGGTACCCTTTGACACCCAAAAGCTTGACCATAGTGGAACATAGATCTTGACTCTAGGTTGCGAACTTCCTATGAGTGCCAAGCATATTCACAACATGCTTTAACGTAGGCGCACTTCGAGCGACGCCTACAGGGAGGGGTAGGTTTCATGGTGGGGGATCGAGTGCGGGGAGTGGATTTCACAATGAGAGAGGTGGTGCAATGGTGGTGGGTAGGTGGTGCAAGGTTTTTATCTAATTAACTAAGGTTTAAAAGCTATTGATTATAATTTAGACGAATAATGATGTTATTAAGAGTTTAAGTAGGATGATTAGGAAAAAAGGTAGTAGTTACTAGAATTAATCAGTTTTAGGGGCAGTAATTAACAACTTTTTTTAGGGGTAGTAATTAACAAATTAAATTTAAATTAAGAAATAAGAAATTTATGTACCTTCAATAATTAATTTTTTTTCACGTAATAGGTAAAAGGGGTTTGGAGAAAAAAAAGAGTAGAGTGAATTACTTTTTATGGTAGTGAGTGAATATGTTCACTTTTGCATGTTTTGGAACTAAGTGTACCTCATTAACAATCAATCTAAAGTGTTATCTCATGAAAATTCACCTAAAATTTCTAAGCACCAACCATCACCACCCATTGTCTGGACATACAGCAAGAGGCGGCAGGTAGGGCGACAAGCCAATGAGTCACGATCTGGGAGTTTGGACACCGAAACGTGCAGCGCGCTCTAGCCTTTTGGCGGCAAGAACACTAGCCTTGAGCGGAAGAGGGGCTTGTGAGCACAAAGCAACACAAGCGGCAATTAAATCAAAGGAGCACTCACGTTTATTTGGGCGACGGAGTGCGGGTGGTCGGGGCTTGAGACGGCCGATACTTCGAGGCGGGCACAAGCATGTCCGAACCACGAGTTCTTAGTGCATAAAGTTGGTTTGGAAGGGAGCTGTTATGCAAGTAAGACACAATATCTATAAAGTTCTAACAACAAACAAGCATAAAAGCAAGACAACACTTAGTAGAAGGCTTAAGATTTCATTAATCATTTACCCTCTAAAGAGCTTTAATTTGATTACAAGGAGAATCCCTAGTGAACACTTAACTGACAATAACACAATAATGGGACCTCAAGCAAAGAAAAATAAAGTAAATTCTAGGAAAGCATCTAAAGGGAATCTAATACATCAAAAGGGGTTGGATCCTAACATCCTCCCCCACTTAAGTTGTCGATGACCTCGTCGACTTACAAGAGTTACAATAAAAGTTAGAGAATCCTAAACTATCTTGAGTCTCTGATGTGCCATTGATGCGTCTGACTGGAATCTTGCTGACTCTGGTGTTGGATCTTCTTGGTTGACGAGGAGCTTGTCTCTGGGTGGCTCGGCTCGAACAACTTGTTGAGAGCTTCATCTCTAAATTTCCTCCTACGAGTGGTGTTTGTAGAATTCTGGGGGAGAGTTGCTTCCACGATAATCTGTTGGGGAACTGCTTCCTTGAGATTGGTGGTGAGCTTTAATGTGTGGTTGGTGCCTCTTGGGTGACCATTGTTTTTGTGATCCCCTACACGTGACCTTCGTTGTTTGCTCGACCATTATTTTCCCTCTCTTGGGAGGTTCTCCTCTGTGTCTCTCTGGTGTCTCTGGGCTCGTCGCTCTTTACTTCGAACCGGGTGGGTTTAGCGGGGGTGTATCTTGGATGTTGCCGACTCACTGGGCTTCATCTCCCGCTTCTGGGTGTCTCTGGTGCGAGCTTGTTTCTTTGATGTCGTCTTCTTCTCTGGATCCATCACTCGCATTGCCGGTAGGTATCGGACTTCTGGTTCTTCTGGGGCAATCATTCTCATGGAGCTCATCCTGTAGATCCCACCCATTCTTCGAACTGAATATTGTCTCTGCTGGTCTCTTTCTCATCTGGGGACTCTTACATGGACATGGATGACAATCTCTTTTGGATCTTGTCAAGCTCTTCTTTATGCTCGCACTCCCACCATTTGTGTGGGCCTCGACAAAGAATGCAGTTCGATAGCTTAGTATTTGCTGAGGACGTGCCGGCCTTAGAGTTTCCGGAGTTGTGGGAGGGGTCGATGTTGTTCTCTGCGCATCACCTCCCACACTTCTTCTCTGATATGTATTGATAGTGTTAGACTATACTTGAGAGCCGTTCTCTGTACCCATTGGAGAGTTTGGAGTCGAGCTATTGGAGCGTGTTGACGTCCCACTTGAATCATTCTGGGACTGGCGACCCTTCTAGACTGAGTAGTCCATCAATCTCTCAGCAGCACACATGGCAGCAGCGAGGGTATCAATTTTGTGTCTTAAAATCTCTCGCTGCGCCCATTCCTTTGACCCATCGACAAAGTTGAACACACGATCTTTCACGTTCATGTCTGTGATGTCCAACATTATCGCCGAGTATTCCTTCACATAGTCGGGAAGAGAGCCCTTCTGGCGGCACTCCAACAACTTCATCCGAGCAACAAAGGTTGTGTTGTCAGGGTAGAATTGTTCTTTGAGTTCCTCTTTGAACTCCGCCCATGTATCAATATTGATTCTTCCTGCTTCGATGTCTGCGTGCTTGGTGCACCACCAAAGCTTGGCATCGTCGGACAAGTACATGATGGCAGCATCCACCTTCTGATCGTCACTCAATTAACATACTCGGAAGTACTGCTCCATGTCGAAGAGGAAGTTGTCTACTTCTTTGGCATCTCTGGCGCCGTTGTAGTCGCAAGGTTTGGGCGGCTTGATCTTTGCTGCACCGCGTCTCAGCCCACAGCGCGCATTAGGGGTAGCACATTTCTCAAGTGCTTCATCGGCTTGTCCTTGAACAAATTGCAATTGTTCACGGAAAGCATCTCTATCTTCTATCAATTTCACAATTTGCTAGGCTTGCTCGTGCACAACGACTTGCAGCTGGGACCATTCGTCCTCTTTCGTCTCGAGCCAACCGAGTCTTTCCTCTACGAATTCCATCTTCGGTGCCTACACGGGTTGCTGCGACGAGGTTTGAACTTGGCACTGATACCAACTGTCATGATCCGGGAGTTTGGACCCCGAAACATGCGGCGCGCTCTAGGCTTTTGGTGGCAAGAACGCTAGCCTTGGGCGGAAGAGGGGCTTGTGAGCACAAAGCAACACAAGCGGGCAATAAAATCAAAGGAGGACTCACGTCTATTTGGGCGACAGAGTACGGATGGTCGGGGCTTGAGACAGCCGATACTTCAAGGTGGGCACAAGCGGGTCCGAACCACGAGTTCTTTGTGCATCAAGTTAGTTTGGAGGGGAGCTGTTACGCAAGTAAGACATAATATCTATAAAAGTCTAACAACAAACAAGCATAAAACAAGGCAACACTTGGTAGAAGGCTTAAGATTTCATTAATCATTCACCCTCTAAAGAGCTTTAATTTGATTACGAGGAGAATCCCTAGTGAACACTGAACTGACAGTAACACAATAATGGGACCTCAAGTTAAGAAAACATAAAGTAAACTCTAGGAAAGCATCTAAAGGGAATCTAATACATCAAAAGGGGTTGGACTCTAACACAATGGCACTAAGCTAACACACCACAACAACCACAAGGAACAGTGCACTAAAGCTGTAGAAGAGAGTTCGGCTTATTAGCTGACTTTTTGAGTACCTATAGGAAGAAGACAACAACTAACAACGGTAACAATTAAGGCTTGATGCCACATCATGTTGATAGTAGAGTAATATAAATAGCAGTGGAGCAGTAGTAGAGAATTATTCAGAAAATTATATTGGAAAAACTTGGAGTGTTTAGGCCTAAAGCCATTATTTATGACTTGTTAACCTTTTGGCCACTTTTATTACAACCAATCCAACAATTGTCTTCCTTAATTCTTGTATTATTTGTTCTTGCGAGTGTAGTATATTGCGAAACTATTTACTGGATTTGCTCAATGAGAAATCTGTTCACTTTGAAATATGTTTTATGCGTCATAACATGTGCAAGGAGAATGGAATATAGCAAGAAACATACAAACATCAAATGTGGATTACCAATCAAGAAGTTCCTCTAGTATGATTCTCTGTGAAGGTGTAACATAGTGAATGCAATTTCTAGGGCACTGACCCACAGCTATCTGGACTCTGTAATCTTCACCATATCCTGTGCCTGTCAGCAATTATAGTTTCATATCAAAAACTCAAATATCCAACTAACTCTCCTCATTTGTCTTCTGATCCTCTGTACAATATTTCTGATAATAAATGGCATTTACTGAGCTGATTCACAAACCTTGATAAGTTGCACGGGCAGTTCCCAGTGAAGAAAAGGAAAAGGCATGAGGGGCCTGTTTGACACATGAATATGGGCATCCTGCAAATACTTCAACTTGTTCAGACAAGTGAAAGCCAATTTTTATACAATTCATTTCACAGCTAGCTGCCTGAAGGTTTCCACCTGTGGAGGGTCTAAAGTTCTGGTTTCAATAGCCTTTGTCTCTCCCAATGAGAGAAGCTGTGCATATTTGATTGCAGATTAAAAACACAACGAAGGTGCTTAATGACAAATAAAAAGGAAGCACATCACTTAGACAATATTAGATTTATTTCAGATTGAAACCTGTTACCTAAAGATAAAATAAACCTGGAATTATTTACACAATATAAATGCATGGATAGCAAAAAGTGAATCCAGGTTTCCTTTTCGGGTAACATGCAGGTGGAATAGATCAATTTTGGTTGGGAGGGGAAACATCAGAAAGTGCACTGGAGATGTGATGAGTTGAAATTACGCAACAATTTTAGCTTAGTTTTGATTCAATTCCCCTTCGTTTATTAATTTATATACATATTTGACCAAGTGGAATATCAAAGATACATAATGGCAAAAAAGTAAAGAAATATAATACTATAGTGAATTAAATATTTCCAATGAAAATTTGGCAAAAGTATACTTTTTCCGTTTTTATTTACTCACAAGTCACAACAGTTTAATAGTGTTCATCTGTTTACTATTTACATACTCATCTTAAATTGCATTTTTTTTTTTTTTCATTTATACTTAATGAAAAATATAGTCAGATGTGACCTTATTAGATCCATCTCAATGTCTTCTTTATTAAAATCTAATATGTATAGTTTTTTACAAATACATACATAATTGAAAATATATACAATTGAAAGTTATGCATCGGTTGAGGCTCCCTAGTTCAATGAGCATTTAAACTACCAATGATGCCTATGATATCAATTAAACAGGTGCTGAATTTTGTTCCACCAAGAATTAATCATGTTGAATCTACTTCATATTGGAGTTCACAAGGAAATAGAGAAGATTTTAGTACCTTTGCCAGCACACACAACTTCATTGACAAAAATATTGAATGCTTCACATTCTGGATTGTCAAAAGGATCTAAACATTCACTGCAAACACGAGTGCAAGTAATAAGCATGCAGTAAAATCTTTTTAGGAAACAAATAATTAAGCAAAATACAGGACTCGTAGAATAATATATATATATATATATATATATATATATATGTGTATATATATATAAATTTTCACAAATATGATATTAAAATTAAAATTTCTGCAATAGTATGTACTATAAATAGCTAAACTTATAGGAATAATTAACTACCATATGAAGAGAAATCTGTCAAAGATCATACTAAATATAAGAAATCCTGCAAAACTTATAGTCTTTTAGCACTGAAAACAAATCCCAGGATTCTTTTCAAAGAGGATAAACCAATAAACCCTCAATTTGTTCAGATCGAGGACTCAGTATGCTGATGCAATCAAGTAAGGAAGACTTTCTGTTTAGAACACTGCTAAGTCAGGATATTATCTTTCTGAGCAAAGGTTTTCTTCGTTGGTGGAAATCACCAGCTCAGAGAAGGCAAGAAAGGAACAAGTACTGAAAACAATAAAATTCGTAGTCCAAACACTGCTCAATATATTTCTAACATTTCACAATTTGGAGACTGCAATATCAGAAAACAATTTTAGAGATTTGACAATGTAACAAGAAAACGTGTGAAAGTAAACACAATAAAGACAGACGAAAACCTAAGAATTTTGTAGGCGATGAGAAAATTTAGATGCAACAACACAACGGTAGAGACCAATATGGCAATATGGTATATCCATACATAAGATTATACAAGAAGATTCTACCTTTCAATTATATCTGACCTGCTGATATTTGAGAGAATCTGCATCATTATAAAGTTTTAATCGTCAGCAGTTAAATAGTACCGAGCAAGCAAGAAACGATGCAGAATTAGATTGAACAATATATATAAACATTAGCGCAGAAAATTGACTCCAAAAACCATGTATATGCAACCTTTACACTCTCATACATGCCTGATGCAAAAATATTTTTTCTTCTGTTCCCAAAAGTTCTTGATAGTTACTACTGTTTACATACAAATTAAGCTAAATGGAGAGAGAGTGGAGATGTGGTGAGTGAGTGTAAAAAAGGGTGGGAGGATTAAGAAAAAAAGAGTGTAAATGTGTAGATATTGTGGGGTAAGTGGAGTAAGGTAGTAATTGGGGTTTGTCACAAATAAAATAAAGCTAATTAAAGAGCTCTTAGGAAACTAAAATAGAAAAGCGTAATAGTTAAAGACCTTCACAAACAAAGGCAGTAGTTCACAAGGAGAACAAAAAGGAAGCAAACTTAATTCCCAATTTAGCACTATTTTTTCTATTATTCTCTCTTGTTTGAACATAATAAAAGCTCACTAAACAAATATAAGTTGGATTACCTCATATGCTTGAATCACACGGCGAATCATCAAATCAGAACTGTGTTGATTGCTCCTCACATCAGGGTGAAATTCCTTCACCTGTTCCAGATATTAATTGACCCTCAAATTATTTATAAAAGGTATTACTATGACTTATTAAAAGAACAGAAGAGAATTACTACAGACTAGTATTACATTGACATGTCTTACTTTACTTGCTTGATCTTTGAGCTCATGTTGCTGTTTACATGGTTTTTGAATATCCAAATAATCCACTACAATACAATTATCTTACAGTATTTACACTTGTATTCCAAAACATTCTCAATTTGATGGGTGACACTTGGGATTATTCATGTCAATTTTCCTATAATAGTGGCAAGAATAATTCCAACTATAGCTGATTTGCTTACGATTACTTCAACTTCCCTTTCAGTGACTTAAAGAAACTTATTTAGAAGCATGAATGGGGAAAGAAGCTTTGGTTACAGAGTGGTATGGGTTCGCAATCAAGAATGAAACCACAGTGAGTTGGGATTGAAACTTCTTATTTGGTTGTAGTTTGGAAATGAATTTTGTCTTTTATTTGATTTCTCTGGGGAGGGGGGTGATTGGTTTGCATACTTTTTGAATGAATTATGGTTTTACAATGAATGAAACCAATACCTCTTGTTTGTTTATGAAAATTTCAATTTCTAAACCCGTACTTCAAACCATCAAAGTACGGGGTCTAAAATCCAAGGGGGAGGTGGGTATGACTTATACCATACATTCAAAATGTCAATTTCCAAACACATGGCATTACGAATCAAGTTCCAATCCTATGTCACTTTGGTTTCAATTCTAATTCCAAAATAATATCACCTACCGAAACAAACACTCCCTGATAGTTTGATATGTCATACCCACCTCCCATAGTCCCATATTTAGTGCATCTGAGGTGTCTTGAAATTTTCTTAAACAAACACTAGATATGGGTTGTACTCATTCCAAACGACCAAACCCATACCCCATACCAGAAAAAATTGCGAACCAAACACCCCCAAAGTTTCAATCTCTAATTGGCCAGTTCTTTTCCAACCTCTACCCAGTCTCTCCTCCCCCCTCCTCCCTTGCGCAGCCACTCCGCTCCCAATCCCAAGTCGAGCCACCCCGCCACTACCCAGCTTGCCAGCCTTCTTAACCACCTTAATACCTAATAACTCACAAGATCTCGAACCCATTTCCTAAACCCACATCCATGTACTCAAACCCAACCCTCCCCCCCCCCCCCCAACTCTCAATATATACCCTAACTAAACCCTTTCTACCAAACCCCAACAAAATTTGACAAGCAAGACCTTACAATTCAATAAATGTGACCATTTATTGTAGCTAATAAATCCGACCCAAAAAATCATCTAAAATATAAATTAGTCAAATAATTTGTAACCAACAAAAAAAAAAAAAAAAAAAAAAAATATTCAAATCTAACTAATTAATCAATTAAAACATTATATCATTTCAATTAAAATACAGAAGTAATGAACACTTACTTTAGCTCTGAAAGCAGCCTTGAGTTGGGCAGCAGAGCAGTGGGGTTCGACACCGAGGATGTCGTAAGCAGCAGCAGTGCTGGTGGGAGAATCATTATCATACCAGAATTGGTCTCTAACTCCACAGTTGAGTCTAGATGACAACGATGAAGAAAGACTATAAGGTTTGGATTGAAGAGGTGAGAAAATGGCGCGTAAATTGGTTGTAGAAAGTAGTTATGACAGTAAAAACTGTTTGGGATGGATTTCAGAAAAGGGTAGAAGATGGGAGTTGGAGTTGCAGCTCCTCTTAGTATGTAAGCCAGAGTCATCTAACTTCGTTTTTTCTCTATTTTATTATCTACCTCCTTTAAAATGAGAAAGTATTGCCCACTACCAGATAGGGACTAAGAAGGTCCATACCACCGTTGAAAAAAAAAAATTTGCTAAGTGTTGGAAAAAAGTTAATTCCTATTTTAATACTGTTATTTTAAGTTCTAGCCTGTTAAAATAAAATTTAATACTGTTATATGTTTCTTCAATATTGTTTTCGAGGTGTTATTTTGATCTTTTTAGTAGTACTTATATATTAAAAGAATAAGTATTTGTGTTAAAAATTAAGTATTATGTTTTACTACAGTTATTATACAAGTGAAATATGTTATTAAGGAAGACAATATAGTTATTATAAATTAGAAAATGTTAAGCTACGTGATTTGGTATCAGAGCCATACGGTTAAAAGATTAATTTAATAATTAGGTAAAACTGGAGAATACTAGACCTTCTACTGAGTGTAAGAAACCTGATTTTAAGCATTATTATCATATTCCTGAAAATACTAGTAATTTTGGCCCAGTCCTTAATTATATAGTAGATCAAATTGGTGAGTTAAGATCGGAAGTTGATAACATACATGCTCGTTGTATTAATATCGAGAATAAAAAATCAATAACCACAACTGATATTAATAAAAAGGTAAGCGATCTAAACGAACAGGTTAAACAAGTTCAACTTGCTTTAACAAACGAAGTTAGGCATCAATTTGGAAAAGAAGTATCGCCTAATAAAGAGAAAATTGTCCCATATAAATATAAATATCCCTATGAAAATCTAGATAAAAATCTAGATAAAAATAAAAAGTTTACTGTAACACTCCCTAAAAGACCAACTAGTAACCAAGAAAAGAATAAAGAGACTAAAGATGAACCCTCATCTTCAGGAGAAAACACTTAACGAATTACAAGTCCTATTTGATGAAGAATAAGACCCTAATAAGCTTAACGAAATCATGAACTTAATTGCTAACAAAGGGATTGCTTCTGATAATGAAATAAAGGAAAATAATTATGCTACTTTAGAGGAAGATTTATATCAACAAATGGATTAATGAAGTTAAATGATCTAGACTTTCTGCCCATAGAAGTTGTTCAACAAAAGATTGTAAACAAACTAGGAAAAAGAGTAATGGATAATAATGATGTTGGAGAGGAAATTATTAATGAAAACATTAACATAAACAATGTCATCCAAAGACCTAGGTATCAAGGAGAAGGAAGTTGCACAAGACCAAGATACATACCAAGGAAGACTACCCGGTTTAGTGTCAAGGTTATGCCTAATCATATACCTAAACAAGAAGAAGTGACTCTTGAACCTATAAGTCAAACTGGTTATAAACTTAAGCTAGATGGTGTAAGAGATAGACAAGATGTTTTAGATTAATGGAAGAAGAGTATGAGTAGTGTACTTAATTTAAACACTGACTGGACTTCAGAAAATTTCTTAAACTATATCGAACATAGTCTTTATGGCTGTGTAGAAGACTGGTACGATGGAATAGAGGAAGAAGTCAAAACTGCATTAAGAGCTAGTGAATCACCTACTAGAATGTTCTGACAATTATGTCAATACATTGAGATAGAATTCATTGGTCCTAGAGCCAATCCTAATGAAAAACGAATGGAATATCAAAGGAAGTTAAGTAATTTGTCCATCTGTAATATGAAATATGTTGATGATTACATTATGGAATTTGAAACATACTATTATAAAATTGGTGAAAATGAAACAAATCTTGGAATTTTCTATGACAAATTACTCAATCCTCTTAATGAAGAAATTAGTGAAAAATATCAAGAATGGAGAGAGAGATTTTTAGCTAGGGATGCTCTAGGTAACAAAATTGCTTTCCTTAGAAAATGGATTGAAACGAAATGTAGAGAGGTTGCAGGAACTCAACAAATGAAGAGACAATTTCTCACTTATTGGGATTTCCCAAATAATTATGGATGTGAAAGAAAAAATTATAATAAAAGAAGGAACTATAAGAGAAATAAATTTGATCGATCAAGAGGAGAAACCTATAAGAAGAAGTATTATAAACATAGATATAGAAAGCCAAGTAGGTTTTTCAGAAAGGCAACATATTGTCCTGAGAAAAAGAAAACATGCAAGTGTTGGTCTTGTGGAGAACTAGGACATTATGCTAATGAATGTAAGAAAGCTAATCATAAAATAATGGAAGACTTAGGAAGTTGGGATTACATAGAAATACCAAAAGACGAGGCTTTAGAATTGGCTTTAAGTAACAATAAAGGAATAGTAGAGATCATAGAAGAGGAAAATGAGTATAATGAAGAACCTGAAGTTAGTGATGAGTTTGAAGATGAAAATTATGAAGAAATAAATAACATGATGGAAGGAGAAGAATTAGAAAATTCAGAATCAGATGACAATGAGGAAGATAAAAGCAAAATGAAAATAGGTCAACTAAAAAGAACTGAGTATTCATTTGAAGATAATGACCTAGATCAAGTAAACAAAGAAAGCTGGAATTTTCCCCAAATTACTAAAGATAAAATATTTAAAACTTCTTTCTTTAAAACTAGAACTAAATATGTATGTGAAGAAATGGAAGGAAGCATAGTAATCGAAGATTGTGAACAAAAGGCAGCCGAAATTAATATCATTAACTGGAAAAGTATTAAAAAACATAAAGAAAATGGAAATTATAGCTATATTTGTATTGGCGCAGTACAAGTATACATAAACCCTTTGTAAGATTTTGGCAAGGATGTTAAATGCTTGAGTTTCATTTGTGATATTAGACATAAAGAGTTTTATGATCAAATAATTAGTGGTATCACATGTAACTTGAGTCAAGGAACGGTAAGCTATATATGTGAACCTAGATATTATGTAAGCTTAGAGGATTCCTCTGCGTCAAAGTTCTTAGCTATCAAGCTATTAACAGAAGGAGTGAAAATGCATAAAGGAAGACGACCCATACAATTAAGATGGAAGGTGGTTTATAAGTTGGTAAACACTACAGACTCGTCATTTAAGAAACAAATAGTCGATGCTCAGAAATATGAGCAAGAAGGAGGTCCTAAGAAGAAAATTACACCTTTAAAGGTAAATCTTAATGAAATTGAAATTGAAAAAACTTGGGAAGAATTCTTTATGAACCCTGCAGTTAGTAATAGATCAAGTAAGATGTTAATTGATGAATCAGGATTACTTCATATTGGAATGAATATAAAACCTAAAATACAGAGAAATCTGAGTCTTAGAATACCAAGTCTAAGTAGACAAAATTCAACAATAATAAGAATGAAAAAACAAGGTGATGAAAAGCCAGAGGAGGATGAAGAAGAAATATTAGTTCTACTAAAGAAACTAAATGAAAAATATGAAAGTAAAAAAGCCTTAAAACAACCAGCAAGGCATAGCATTGATATGAGATCATGTTCTAATTTCGAGTTAAATGAAGATCCAAATAATCCTATTGATAAAAGGAAGGTAATTGGATATAAAACCAAAACTGTGAGTGAACCAGTATATGAGGATGAAGTTAATATGCAAATGGAAGCTTGTAATGAAATATCCAGTACTAATCCTAATAGCATTTATATTCCATGTGATATATACATTGAGGATTATAATAAATATAGATTATGTGCATATATTGATAGTGGTTGTTCTACATGTTTTGGAAAGAGATCATTATTTCTAGAATTCTTGTGGAAAAAGGCCAAAAATCCTATGCAAGTTAGAATTGCTAATAATAGTGTCATGATGCATACAGAGATAATTGAAGATTTAAAAATAGAAATTGAAGGAGTTCAATGTGTGATTCCTATTTTATGGGCAACTGATCAACCTAGTCATGATATGATAATAGGAAATAATTTTCAAAGGTTATACTCTCCATGCACTCAAACTAGTGATCAGATAATCTTTACTATTAATGGTCATTTTGTTCCTATACAGAAAATAACAAAGGCTTATACTCATCAGACAATGGAATTTACGCACAACCAGCGTGGTGATAGGGTTACTCCTACATAACGAGAGGTTGCACTTAGAATTTCTGAGTGTGATTCATCATTAATAAATCGGATAAATAAGCAACAAGAAAAACTATGTGAAAAACTATATTCAAAAAATCCTTTAGAACATTGGGAAAAGGATAAAGCATTTGCTAAGATAACTCTAACAAATCCTGATAAGATTATTAGAGTAAGACAAGTGGTTTATACCTACCAAGATATTAGCAAAAGTCCTCATAATAGTCCAGCATTCATGGTAAGAAATCATGCAGAAGAAAAGAGAGGTAAAGCTAGAATGGTCATTAATTATAAACAGCTAAATGACAATACTGTTTTTGATGGCTATTACATTCCTAATAGAATACAAGGAGCCACATGGTTTTCTAAAATGGATTGCAAAAGTGGATACTGGCAAATTAAAATGGAAGAGGAAAGCATTCATTTAACTGCATTTAGTGCCCCTCAAGGGCATTATGAATGGCTAGTAATGCCTTTTGGATTAAAAAATGCTCCACAAATATTTCAGAGAAGAATGGATAATATTTTTAGAGAGCTTAATCATTGTTGTTTGGTTTATATAGATGATATCCTAATATTAAAAAAACATAAGAATGATCTTAAAGCAGTAACTCAAAAATGTGCAAAGCATGGTATAATCCTTGGAAAAGATAAATGTGTTTATGCTAAACCAGAAATTGAGTTTCTTGGATTAGAAATTAAAGCAGGACAAATAATATTGCAAAAACATATTTTAGAAAAGATTGAAAAATTTCCTGATAAAATTGAAGATAGAAAGCAACTAGAAAGATTTCTAGGATGTTTAACCTATGCTTCTGATTTCATAGAAAATCTTGCTCTATTAAGAAAACCATTACAGAAAAAACTCAAGAAAGAAATAACTTGGAACTGGAGGGAAAGTGATTCCAAAATTTTTCAAAATTTAAAAGCTATGTGTAAAGATCTTCCTGTACTAAGACTACCTACTAGTGAAGATGATTTAATCCTTGACACAGATGCTAGTAATGAGCACTGGAGTGCTGTGTTAAAAATAAAAGAAGGAGAAAGACTTTGCAGATATAGCAGTGGAAGTTTTAACGACATTAGAGGGATCGAGAAGTTTTTAATCTTCTTAGCCCCTAAACAGTTCTTAATAAGAACAGATT